CATATCTATATCACTAAATATCACTAAACCCCAAGTAAGCAATAGGATTAAAGCCCAGATCCAAGTGTTAGTTTAACTGAATGAGGTCAACAGTTCTTGTTTTCCATAGGGATTATAGGCTTTAAGGGGGTGGATAACAAAAAGAGATATAACAAGTTTGATCAGCTTTATGTCTTTTAGCAAGTATTGTGGGAGGTATAAATCAAAGATCTTTAATCATGCATTGCTAAAAAACGGAAGAAATGAAAGTAACTCCCTTTCACATACTCCTGATTAAAAATATAATGTATAATCCATAAGTGTAGGTATAACATGTTTGAACTCCCTCCCATTTACATTTGTGTATTTGAGAGACACTCACATGATTTAGATTAATACATATTAGTATACATATATAATACATATTAGTAAAGAAGTTTTAAGTAAAGTCAATGTTTCACCTTTGGAAATCAAAAATTTATTTCTTAATGCACCACTTTTCTTGTCGTACTCTGCATGATTCACTGATGCGTGTTATTCCTATTAAAATAAAATGTTGCCTTCATTTTTTTGTTTTCCCCCCCTCTGACACTACTTCCTTTTTTATAAAACACTTTTAATTTGAATCCCTTTTCCCTTCAGTCACCTGACTCCATTCACATGGGCAATGCTCTCATCATGGTCCAATCAACTACTGATGGATAAGACCAACCTCTACATTTTTTCTCTTTCTATCTTTCTTTTGCTTGGAAAAATGCCAATTACGGAATAAATTTGGTTGCATGGAGCATTTCATGTTCACTAGCTATGCTGCTTCACAGCCACATGCATGCCAGATACTAAAACGAACAGACCGTATCAAGAATTAAAATTTTAATTTGAATGTACTATGTCATTGTCATTTTTGATATATGAAAGAAGTGTGTTATGCAAGAAGGAAATGCTGCATTAAACATTGAAGTGCTATTAATCTTGTTCTCTTTCTGTCTTTCAGGTTTTTTGTTTTAGAAGTACAGCAATACCACACAACACAAAGGTAGTTTTGTTGAAGGACTTTTAATGGACGTCAAAGAGAGGTGCTGTCAAGGCATGCAGAAAGAATACTTTGGCCCATGACAACATTTCCAGTCATCACAGTGGTAAAACTCACTGAAATGCCTGGTTGAGCCTTGTATGTTGTTTCTGCTCTTATTGACTTCTGATGAGAGAATGGCTTCCAATTGTTGGATGGCGAATGAATCTCAAGAGGCTTTGATTGAGGAGGAGAGAATACTGTGGCCTAGCTGTCGTCCTGTACATCTTGTCAAGATACATATAACTATACTGTATATACACACTGACCCTATTATTGTTTGCATGATCAGCATATTGCCTGTGACTAGAAATATATTGTATGTGTAACATTGTTAAACTATGTATAAAACTGGAGGAACTGAAGTAATTCTATGGTTTTAAAATCATCCAACCCTTTTCCTTTTTTTCCCCCTGTCCTTCTAGTTGTTGTTGTTGTTTTTTTTGTATTGTCCTGTGTTGCTTTAAGGTCAAAATAAAAAATATCATATAAAAAAAATAAAAATTATAAACTTTATACACAAATATGATCTCATTCTCATACTTTTCTCTCTAGGATGAAGCACAGTTGTTGTGGTATTCCTCATATAATATAAATAGTAGTATAGTATAATGGTAATAAAATATAAATAGTAGTAGATGAATAACTTTAAGTTTAAGCGCTAGAATTACTAAACTATAACTGAAAAGAAAAAAAAAAGCTTACAAAATACAAAGCCATAATCACATAATATTGTAGTATATACGTAAATACTACTAAAATAACTCTGCTTTGGATAAAGCATCTGCTGATTGAATAAATGCACCGATGTAGATGTCCTCTCCTGTGTAAGGTATGTGAGGTATTCAGGACAGAATCACAATGGATGTCTTTGTCAGGTTTCTGTCCTGAAATACCATGAATGTAATGAGATAATTTTCCATTTTCTTTCTTTTTTTGTGAGAAATGCAAGAACAAAACATGCCTTTCTGTTTTATCCTGCAAAAGAATTGTCAAAGGAAAGCAGATAGATATGGAGGAAAACTCATATTTTCCCCTAGATGGGTCCGTTTCTGTAAAGTCAGTATGTGAGAGGTTACTGATTCTTTTTAGGGTTGGGCCACATTACAAGAAACTTATCCGTTAGAACAAAAGTGAAAGAGAAATTGTCATAGAGAGATGGCAGCAAAATCAACTTTAAATCACATCAAATAATTTATCTTTAATAATAAAAAGCAATCCTAAACAAATAAAACCCTTGTCTGATTAGGTGAAATGCATATTTCTGCATAGCAGAATGTGTTGCTATACAATACATACTTATATAGCCTACATATTGTATGTACCAATATATAAAAATAATTCAAACGTTCATACTGATAACAACATCACCAGTGCCTTGTGGTCAGTTGTTTACATTCATATATATATATATATATATATATATATAAACAGACAATACTATATAAAGGTAACTAAATTGTTAAATCACTCATTTTACACAAATTCAAACTCTACACTAGCCCAGTACCAGCGGGAAGGCCTGTGGTGGTGTTGTGCTGATCTTACTGCACATTAAAAAAAATAATAAAAATGTTTTGTAGTGCATTGTTAATATCGTAGAATAGTCCAAACAATCACTACACACATGAATACAGTACATGTTCTAGTTGGGTCAATGAAGAGCACAGAATCCTATAGGCGTGGTCACATTTACCTCAGCGAAAATTAGCGTGCAAAATCAATGTCATTTCAAAAGAAATCAGCACGACTGGAGTTTGTTGCACAACCACCTTAAAGTTTGTGTTCAGGTTGTTTGTGCAAATTTGCCGCATTGCCTAAAAGAAAATTACTTTGTTTTAAAGTAATTTCTGTGTGAGCAAAATCGCCACTATTGACAGTAAATAAAGGACATTTTTTTCCCCCCGTGAAATTTCGCTGAATTTCCTCTAATGTGACCCCAACCATATGAAATGTACTTTGAGATAATGTTTCCAATAAATCGTACCTTGTTATAGAGCTGCAACATCTGTAACATCTTCATATGAACTACACACATTCATATACTAAAAGGGTACAACCACAGAAATTCTTTAAGTTTCTTGCTCACAGGCAGATGTTGAATACTATCTTTCCCAAAACTCCGCACCACAGCTCTTCTCGCCAGTTCTTGCAAGCTCTGCGGCGCTTCTCCGCGATACGGCATACTCAGACTCTTTTTTGGGGATGCAATATAGTACCCTAGCAGGCCAAAAAGGCAAGAGAAAGTATGTTTACTGCCTGCTAAACTGAATCCTCCATCCTTCAGGAGCACCCTCACGCTGGTCGGGCCCTCGGGAGCCCGATAGCTGAGAGTGAAGAAAACATTTGCTTGCATGCTGTCCCGGATCAGGAACGTCCCAAGAGGAAGTTTGGCAAGTCGAGAGTGAGCTTCATCTACTTCCAAGGGACCCCAGTAAAATCCACTGTGGCTCAAGTAATCCACAACCTGGGTGATGAGGACACACTCCCGCTGGTCTCGAAAGGGGTGAAAGTGTGTTGGTGGGACAGCACAGGGTTTAGGGGACTCGGCCAGCTTGGATGGGCCCTGTCGCGCAACTGCATGGTCAGTGTCATTATGCTGGACCATTCTGAATCAGGGCCCACTCATACCATTCCTCCATGGTCCTAAAGCATAGATGAATGATTCTGTGCCGCCTGTTTAAAGAAACAAAGAGTTCTAACATCAAGAGGTGGGAATGGCTCTTGCACGGACACACTCGAGAAAGTCTGTGAGAAAGTGCATGAGTATGTGCAAGTAAGCACATTGATTTCAAGTGTATTCAGGTTTAATAAAATTCTTCATTACGAAACAGAAAGCCTACCCTTTCTATGCAAATGATGCTCTATGAAGTCAGTGTGGTGTAACTAATATATCCTACAATTGTTGCTATTTGATAAGAAAACCATAAAACAGAGAAGACCCCTGTAGACCCTTGTGTCATTGTGTCAAATCACTTTTTGAACTTTTATGAAAAGGCACATTTTGTTCAGGTCAAATGGAGTAACCCTAAGAACATACACTCTTAAAAATAGAGGTGCTTAAAAGGTTCTTCACAGCGATGCCATAGAAAAACCATTTTTGTTTCCACAAAGAACCATTCAGTCAAAGGTTCTTTAAAGAACCATCTATTTCTCACCTTTTTGAAGAACCTTCTTTCGTCACAAAGAATCTTCTGTGAAACAGAAAGGTTCTGCAGATGTTAAAGGTTCTTTATGGAACCACTTAGACAAAAAGCATTGTGAAGCACCTTTTTTTAAAAGAGTGTATTCGTTTGAAAAATCAAGTTTGAAAATCTGATGATTAAAAAGAATGATTATATACAGTGAGGGCTGTGTGTAGCCTACTGTATTTTATTGTGCACTTTTACTTGATGGCTATTAGTTACACCACATGTTTTAATCAAAAACGGTACAAAAATTAGTAAGAAAAACGAATGAAATCAATATTAATGCAACGATGACATTTAGAAGAAGTTTAGAAAATGTCTCACTTTTCTCTACTCGAAAACTTTGTTACGGTTCAGTGGCAAAGGAAAATGATTTCCCTCACGCGTAGCTAATATAGGCTACTCTAAAAATCAAGATCCATATCAAAAACATTACAAAAATATAAAAGAAAAAATATTTAATTAATTTATATGAATACATTTCATATTTGAAACATATATTTGAAACATAAAAACCATCATAAATAACTAATGGGACGTTTTTGGATGGCTATATAAGTCTTTGAAAGTTTTGATGTTATATGGTCTTTATGGAAATAAGCGTTTAACGGTTAGCACAGGCAAAGCGAAGCCCCCTGCCTTCTCTGAAATACCAGCACATACATGTAGGCTATTCTCGAAAGAACTCCAAGGTATCATATGATATTAAACCGGTTCTCCTGTGCTACAAGTGTAACGATTTCCATTTAACGATTTTTAATGTATGTCACCTACACTTTTAGGAATAACCATTAAGCTACATGTGTACCGAAAAGGTTTCCATAAAGTGGTGTTTAATCCACGGATAATGTCACGGTGAAATTAAAGGTGAAAGAAACGCCTCCAGTCCGGTTTCAGATGAAAAACCTCTGGCCCACTTACCGCAAATGCAGTTTGATGTTGTCTAAGCCAAACTTCTCCAGAACTGTGTCAAGATTTCCTGCGATGCTGCATTTTTAGTTGTAACACATCATTCTTCTCTCATAGGCTGACCATTATATAAAAGCGAAAGCGAAAGCTTAAAAATTACCTAAGCAAGGCGTTCTCGCCTCTAGCATATGAATAACTGTGAGAACTCTTCCAAGTTCTGTCAGAGTCTGGATGAAGGATATATGTCTCTGTTTATGCACGCGTTATGCCATTTAATGTAGGCCTATTTTATTTACACTACCCTCTGCGTAATCTGCAAAGTGAAATACTAGATTTAGGAATGGGGTTGGATTTTGGCAGCTCTCTCTGCCTCTCCATTTAATAGGCTACCTTCAAAATGGCGAAGATCTTGGTAATTCAGCAAATAATAAACAGAAAAAGCTTGTTATAGCCAAGCTACTGCAGTTTGTCTTCACGAGTGTGTATTTTAAGTTATTATTTAGCCTGCTGTTTTGAACGCACGTCTGTTTCACTTTCATTTCGGAGGCATGTTTTACTTTAAATCACGTGATCTTCACCAACTCCTCTCGTCTTACGACAGGTTAAGAGGTTAAAGGTCTTATCCTGGTTTAATTTTATTGTTTAAGACTGTAACCCTAAACAAACATATGAGCTACACATCTACGAAATGAAATGTTATTTTCAACAGATTTGGAAAATTATAGAAATGATAGCCTACTAATGTAGGCCAACAGTAAATTCACGTCATCCTCTTCTAGTACAAATCAAGAGTTTATAGCATTTTATAGCAAGATTACTATTATTATTATTATCTTTCATATCACTGCAGAAAAATACATAAATATGAACTTAAATGTAAAAGCCTATAAGAATCAGCCATTGAAAAATCCTATATTGATCAACCATTATTTTGAATATTAAGAGACATGCATCCACCTTGAAGTCTATGATGGTTATGGCCCTGATGCACCCATTAACAAACACTATATGATTTTTACTTAAAAGAGAAAAAAATAAAAGGTAACCAATGAAAAATGTTAAAGTGACCAGTCTTGCACCAGACAACTATTGTATCTGTATAAACAGCAGCTTTCACTGAATACATGCATAGTTTCGACTTTAAACGGATGTTGTACGATTAACTGTTCTCTCTGTAGATTGCTTCTGACTCTTATAGTAATCAGATGATCTCTAAAAATTGCTGATAAGCTGCATCTCTGAGTGGCAAAGCAGAACGTATACCTGGAATAACTAATCCTACATTAAGTTCAGGTCTTTTTTACATCTTAGAAAACACTCTCAAATCAAATCCCAGTTTATATCTTTAACAAATATGTTTGTTTGAACCATAATTAGTAATCCATCAATTAAGGATAAATCATATTTTAATCTATTTTAGCTATAATTTGCATGTTCTGTTTGCAGATTTCAGGAAAAGAAAATACCTTGCACTGTATACTGCAGATGAATCCAGATGAATTTTCACCTGAAGGACTGAAAGGACCTTCAAGATGATGAGGTGAGCCCCAAAATACAAAAAGACCAGAGCTCTTGTGCAACTGACATCAACTGCTTGCACATCCACCTAGAGAGAATTTACTACAGCGGAGTAGGATACTGCTCTAACTTTACAGGAAAAAAGATTTACCACATCCCACCATTGGTGCACACAGGTGCTTTTTCATTTCAGTTTCATTTTAGTTGACCCAGGTATAGATCATATCACATTCAGGTGAAAATATTTGAAAAAAAATAGTGACAGTCAGAGTGACATAGTTGATATAACTGTATAGTATTACATCTAAAAGGGGAAACAAATAAATTGTATTAAAGAAAATGGGTAGTACTTCACTCGTTTGTTGATTAGCATAATAATGGAATATTGTAGATTTCACAACAATTACACTTAAACGAAGATTCACTTTCAGAATGACACCTGATCACGATTAACTGACATGATCATCCTGAAACAAAAAGCAGGGGGAAAAAAACATATTACAACAGCACTGTTATTTCTGAAATCATTTCTAAACATTTCATTTTACAGGAAAACATCCCTATCTGACCTGCTAGTTTCACTAACCTAAAACCAACAGCTGTTAAAATAAACCTTTAGAACAGATATCGCAAACGGCTTCCAAGAAACGTACTTGACAATAAGCTTACACTGCACTCTACTGGCAAATCCCCAAAAAGACTAAAAACAACAACAACAATGCGATTAAAAAACATTATAGTCTGCATGAAATTAAAATTCACTTTATCAATATTCTAAATGGATGTTATAGGTTTTATTGTGAACCATACATCCAGGCATGGATGCATTGTTCACATGCAACCGACTTTTCTCTTGGTGATGTAAGCAGGACTTCATCTGCCTAAATCTTGTCCCTCAAGCTCATGTTCATCTGCATTCACTTATGAGTGCAACCAACATTTACATTTCAACATTCAATCAACACCTGATTCATAGAACCAAGTCCTCAACCAAGTTACACTCGGATGTACATCACAATATAGAAGAACAGTTCTGTCGCTGCTCCCAATTTATTGTGACTTTTTTTTTTAAATGACAATCTGTGTGCATGATAGAAAAAGGAAACATCTGGCCATTGACATGTAGAAACACGACCTTCATTAACCACGGTCCACTCATGTAGTGATCATAAATAATTTATTGTATTCTTAACCCCCCTTAACTTTCCATTTGTAGTTTATGAGGATGCAGATGCTGTTTCATGTTCCTCCTTCCTGCTGTGTCTCATCATGTAGACGGCAGCTGTGAGTGCAAGAACACCATATGTGACAAGAACAAACTGCAAAAGGGAATAAGTGGGGGAAAAAGATACAAGTGACGTGAGCGACGATCTTACTGTTGTCTTTGATCATGCAACAATCTGACAGATCCTTAATGATCTTACATTTCTGCGTCCTTGTAATGTGTAGCTGTTAAAATGTTTCCTCCATCCTGTCAGTTCTGTTGGGGTTGGTGCATCAATCCCAAAGAGCTGTCTCTGTCATTATAAAATAACAAGGAATTATGAATAAAACCACGTCCATAAAATGAAACAAAATAATAATAGTTTTAGGTGTTAATATCATACCATGGTAGTACTGAATAAACCTAACTTAGCTACTATTGCATTTCTTAAAATAATGTACTCATTACTTTGCCATTTTTATATTTTAAAATGTTTTTTATATACATTTATTTACTTATTATGACAGCAAGCATGGCTGCTTTGTGTTGAATTGTGATTTATTTTAGTAAAGTTATTTGTCTACCTTGACTTCGCTAATAAGATGACCAAAACTTGTCAGCGGAATCCGTGTCTTCACAGGGGAGGTCGGCATGTCTGTAGAAAAAAAAAACTATGTTTTAAACCATACTGCTGCAAATCAAAGCAAAGCACAATGGAAACGATAGCATGTCAGCCTTGAAAAGCATATACACACTAAACACTTACTGAATCACTCTAAAAATACCGTTTCTACAAAGAACACTCTGCGGTTGTTTACAGCTGCGGTATTAGTTCTGGAATTTTTCAATGTCAGCTCAGCATCCAATTAAAACTCCCTAACTGAGACGTTGAGCCAATGGCTGCAGGCCTGGAGGCGGGACTTTGAGGTGGTTACGCAAACTAGTTAAAGCGCCCGTGTTTGAATTTATGGTCAAACGTATTAATGTACGTGGTAACCGAGGTCAGCCAGAGGAAGTTGTAGAGGCAATGTGGCAATGTATGGGTATCTGTTAACCAGTTTTATTTAACTTCCTTTACTGTGACTTGTTTAAGTTAACTAATTAATGACATAATTGTTAAGTTTCGTCTGTTCTTCCTCAAGGACACAATTAATGTTTTTTTTTTTTTTAATCTCAATTAGCCTACTCTTTTCCAGATCCAGAGTATCCTTTTTGTGATGTAGCCTGCAAAATGTGTTGTGGTAGATGATCATTACCCTATTGGCCTTTGCCATTAAGTTTTTGCATGTTTACAAAATAAGTGGTGCTCTGAGAGGTTTAAATACATAAAAAAAATGATTATTGGTCAAGTAGGATTGGGGTTTTGAACACAAGACATAAAAGTAATATTTCTTGTTGAGGAGAAGTGTGCTGTTATTATATATGTGATCAGACTTTCAGTTTTTGCCTGTAGCAGATCAAATCAGGCTTACTTTAAAGAAATGACCCAAGACATTTCTAGAGACCAGAATATAATTATATGATACACACAGAAAATGTCTTCTTTTTAGTATAAACTATACGTGCAAGGTTTCCTTTCTGAACCATTAGTGTAAAACATGTTTAGAAGTAATATTTTATGCATCAAATTTTAACTATCCAAGAGAGTTTTGATGCTTAGTTAACGCTGCATGCACTTCTCTTTTTGACTCAGTCTGCATATTTACACTAAACGTGACTTGTATACATTTTTCTCTATTTGTATCTGAAATTCAAACACAGAAATACTGTTGTGCCATCAACAGTTCAAATCAACTGGAGCAGAAATAGCAGAGTAACTTTATATGTCCCACGTGAATTGAGAAAATTGTTTATGTCTGATATAGGTTTATTCCTCTTTTCGCCTGTCACTAACTGGTGACACAAGGGAGGTGTCCTCTTGCAATTTTAGATTGGCTTTCATCAGCGCAACTGCTAAGGTCAAAAAGAGAAGGACATTTAATATCATGCCAGAAAAACCCATTATCAAGATATTTGATCTATAACACATAAAAGCAAGTAATCAACATAAAACCATAAATATGACAACTCAAAATCCATCTCTAACATTTTCAACATGAGGATCCCAGTATTTTATCACAGGGCTCTTCTCTTTCTTTTATTACTCTTTGTAAAATATTTGCAGTGCCTTGAATTAAAGCTGGTTATGAAAAGCACTGGGTGTGACCTGTAATTACCACAAGACTGATGTAGAGATACTTTATAATAAAATTCATGCCTTGCTTAAAAAAGGCTACTTCCTCTTTTCAAATCCTTAATTCGTTGTTTAGTGAAGTGAAACTAAACAGATATCTGAAATAGTTTTTACAAAAAACGATTTGCATAAAAGCTGTGTAAGACATTTGAGACAGTCTGAATACTTATTACCCAACTATAGCTATAAATGAAGCATGCAGGTATATGTACTCATGCTCTGAGACTGGTCTCTATGGGTGGATCCCTAAAATCTATGTTCCTGATAAAAGAGACATGATTTTGTAAGTTTCAATCAGGCTATTGAGTTTCACTACCTCCTGTGACTCACACTGTGTTTGCATGTTTGATTTCTGTTTGTTTTCTCCTATTATGACTACGGCCAAACTGCAGTTTGCATAGAAAAGAGGACCAGTCATAATAATGGCAGTCAGGTAATCAAAGTTGACTTCTTCTGTCTTGAAATATGCTAGACTGGAAGTACTTTAATATTCAACATGTTTTAATACTGCAATCATAAGCTTGCGATTATACAAAACGTGGTGTAATATTGAGGTATAGACACAGAATGAAATGAAAGTGCATTGATTGGCTGACCGTTTTGGATCAGAAATTGAGGACTTCTGTTTTGAGCGTTTCTCCTTTTGTGTATGCTAAATTTATTACTGTGACGCACAGCTGAATTTTCAGCAGCCATTAATCAAGTCTTCAGTGTCATATATTTCAGAAATGATTCCATTATGCTGATTTGTTGCTCAAGAAACGATTCTTATTAATGTCAATGTTGAAAACAATTGTGCTGCTTAATATTTTTTTTTTTGTGGAAGCCATGATACATTTTTTAAGGATTACTTGATAAATAGAAAGTTGAAAAGAACAGCATTTATTTGATATGTTTTTTTTTAATTCTTTTAATTCTTCCATTAATTTTATGGGCATTTCGGTTAACTCTATATATATACATGCCATGCAGTGCAAAAATTATATACAGGTCAAACACCTGTAAAAATCAATACGGTAAATTCCTTCATACTAATACAGTACATTGTGCCCTATTTATTTATTTTAAAAAATCTATTTTTTACAGGATGAGACCCTTGGAAGCAATGTCTGTAATACTTTTTATATTAATTTTGGCCCAAGGCTTTGACTACTCCAGGACATGTAATTGTGATCAGCAATATTTTTTGCAACGGTTCATCAAATCATCTCCAACAGGTCCCAAAAGTTCCAGTGAATGCTCTTGGCCTTGACTTGTCATTCAATCAAATTGAGTCTATTGACTTGAATGATCTCAGCCCATATAGTGAGCTGAAAACCCTGAACTTGCATAAGAACAAGCTCAAGTTTATACACAAGGAGGCTTTCAAATCTCAACATAACCTGGAAGTTCTTGATCTGTCCTTAAACAACTTAAAAAATCTATCTTCGTCTTGGTTCCACGAGCTAAACTCTCTTTAGCAACTGAACCTTGTAGGAAACCCATACACCACCTTGGGACCTGCTCCCATTTTCCAGTCTCTCCTTAACCTAAGAACGCTGCAATTCGGTAGTCCTTCACTGAGAGAGGTATACAAGAATGGCATAGATGGGCTCACTCATCTGGATGAGATGACATTCATTGGCAGTAACCTGAGGTCATATGTGAACGGGAGCTTAAAAGCAGCCCGTCCCATCGGTTTAGTCTTTTTGAGCCTTCAGAGTCTATTTCAGAACGATCCAGAATTAGTCTTATATAAGGTTCTTCAAGACGTCTCCCACCCTAAAACTCGGCTGACTATCAAAGATGTTGAACTCAGAACGAACACTTCGAAATCCTTTAAAGCGGCGAGAGAAGGTGGGACTGAAAGCTTGAGTTTCCATAATTGCACCACAACTGATGAAGCATTGACCTCTTTTTTGATGGTCATGGATAATTCTTCTTTGTCTTGCATTGGTCTTGAAGATGTACATTTGATTGGTCAAGGGTGGTGGCAGAAAGCTTCGTACACACATTATGAAAAAGTACATACGGCCTACATACGTAATCTCGACATCCAAGGGTTCTTTGAGTTCAGTAGCATGAAGCAGTTGGGATTTCTGCTGGTGAAGCTCCACAAGGTGTCTGTGATCAACGGCACAGTGTTTGTTATTCCTCCGATAACTACTGTCCTGTTGAAGAAACTTGAATATTTGGACCTTAGTCAGAACCTCCTTTCAGACCTGACAATTGCACCAACGTTATCTACGAGTTTTGGCGCATATCAAAACTCATCACTCTTAACGTGAGCCAGAACGTTTTAAAATCCCTTGGGCTGATGTCTCAGTTGACCACTAACATTAAGTTACATCACATATTTAGACTTAAGCCATAATAGTTTTGTTTCTATGCCAGAAAAGTGTAGCTGGCCAGCAACTCTCAGGTTTCTGAACCTTTCCAGCACAAGATGACCCCATGCCTGCCTTCTTGACGGTCCTGGATCTCAGTGAAAATGATCTGATGGTGTTCAACCAAAGATTTCCCCAACTTATTACGCTAATACTGACAGGCAACCGATTTATAAAACTCCCACAGTGGGACTTAATTCCAAGGCCGCAGACACTGCTTAGCCAAAGGAACGCCTTGCGGATGTTTAACAGGAGTGATTTGAAGAGATTCAAAAACCTGCAATGTTTGGAAGCAGGTGATAACAATTTTGTGTGCTCCTGCAAGTTTGTATCTTTCTTTAAACAGGATGTTGACCTTTTCATCACACTAAGGGATAGTCGTCGCAATTACGTGTGCGACACTCCATTCACTCTCAGAGGTGATTCTATTGACAGTGTCAGATTGTCAGTTTTCGAGTGTTATATGATCCCTGCTGTCTCAGTGCTTTGTTCTGTGATTATCATAGCGCTTGGACTTATTGTTGTTACCTGCCATAAGCTTCACGCTGATGGTGTTCAACCAAAGATTTCCCCAAATTATTACGTTAATACTGACAGGCAACCGATTTATAAAACTCCCACAGTGGGACTTAATTCCAAGGCCGCAGACACTGCTTATCCAAAGGAACGCCTTGCGGATGTTTAACAGGAGTGATTTGAAGAGATTCAAAAACCTACAATGTTTGGAAGCAGGTGATAACAATTTTGTGTGCTCCTGCGAGTTTGTATCTTTCTTTAAACAGGATGTTGACCTTTTCATCACACTAAGGGATAGTCATCGCAATTACGTGTGCGACACTCCATTCACTCTCAGAGGTGATTCTATTGACAGTGTCAGATTGTCAGTTTTCGAGTGTTATATGATCCCTGCTGTCTCAGTGCTTTGTTCTGTGATTATCATAGCGCTTGGACTTATTGTTGTTACCTGCCATAAGCTTCACGCTATATGGTATCTGCAGATGACTAAAGCATGGATACAAGCCAAAAGAAAACCTGCAGTTGGTCGACTGGCCGAAGAGCTCCGCTATGATGCTTTTGTATCTTACAGTCAACATGACGCTGAGTGGGTTGAGGAGATCCTTGTTCCAGAACTAGAGATAGCTCATCCTACGTTTGCCCTGTGTTTGCACAAACGGGACTTCCAGCCGGGCCGCTGGATCGTGGACAACATCATTGACTCGAATGAGAAGAGCCATCGAACTCTCTTTGTTCTGTCTGAG